CAATGTATATCCTCTGGTCTAGCCAGATTTGCAAGGCAGAATTGGGATCATGATATTGGGGGGGAGGAAACATTTAAGAAGTAGAGGAAAGTTATATGATATGGTTCATCGTTGCTACCCTGCACCCTGATTAGCTGGTCTCCCCACAACCCCTCAGCAGGGGGGTGTTCAGTTGCCTACCGATGGACTCTGAGTCTCCACTCTGCACTCACCCACCTTTACAATGACATGATTTCTTGTTCCTTGATGCCTGACACCCGAACTTGCCTGATGTTGATAGCAGTTCAATAAATGTCACTGCTCTTTCAGAGCTTAGACAAAAAGTGGGAAGCCAAGAAAAAGCTCTTTGGAAAATCCTCCTTTAGCTCTGATCATTTTTCTTAGTACAGTCCCCTCTCAGTTGGGTGTTAACCTGGCAGAAAAGGATTGCAGGGGGCCTTGGTTGCTACCACCAGTTTGCATCAGCTCTGCTGTCGTCATGACAACATTGCCACCACTGCTCTATGCACCTGTGAGATGTGGGCAGGATAATGTTTCTCTACCACATATAGGGGGCCTTTCTGTTAACACTTCAACAGCTCTAATTGTTTAGGTCACATTTCTGCCTTGACCCTTTCTTTCTGAGGCAATTTTCTCCAACATGAACTTGGTCAGGAAAGAGATCCCCCCCCCCCACAAACCCTGTCAGCATAGCAGCATATCTCTGCCTTCATCTACTGCCCCCAGAATAATGCATCTCAGGGCCAACGTGATAAATGGGAACTGGACACTGGTTTGCAATGACATGCAGTGCTTCTGAGAAAACTACTGTGTCTGGGGGGGGAGCGAAATATCTAGTCATGTTGTAAATAGCTAACACATGCTTTATGGTTTGCTCCAGGAATCCTCAATCTCGCGTCTGGAGTGGTGGATTTACTTCAGTTCTATTTCCCAGAATCTTTTGATCGCCTTCCAAGGGATTGTGGCCTCTTTGATGGCCCCAAACCAACTGTCCTAGAGTCTTGTAGTGTGAGCGACTTGGCAATTTTGCTAAGAGGAAACAAAAGGAAAACTCAGCCCATTGAATTCGGAGCCCACCAGGTGAGCTTTGTGGGATTCTGTTTTGAAATAAAATGCAGTTTGCATTGCAAAAAAAATATTCAGTGTCTGAATTATTATACAAGATAGAATTCAACAGCCCCTATCCCAGAATGGTACATACTTCCCTTTGCCTGACTGATCAAGTCTAGGCTGGCCTCTTTAAAGACATTACCCACTTCCCATAAAAATAATTTGAGTATTATGAGGCTTCTTTGATTTTGATTCTTTTCCCCTCCCTTTCCTATTCCCTACTTTTTTTTTTTTTTGGCAGGTAATCCTTGTTCCCAATGAAATGGCAAAGGAGAAAATTCCAGAAGAGTTGGGATTAGCACTTGTGCTAACAGTTTACGAGGCAAAAGGCTTAGAATTTGATGATGTCCTCCTTTACAACTTTTTTACTGATTCTGAGGTATGTGGTGGTAGATTCTTTATACATACTGCATGGGGTGCCGTGGGGGTGTGTCTGTGTGGGGGTGTTTCCCTCACTGTGGGGAAGAGAATTTGGACCAGAGGAGAAATAATTTGTCACAGGTGCCTGTTTGTGTTTTGGCGTGCCATCCATGTAGGGTGGGGTCTTGTATGTTTGGTTGTGGCTTTGACGGTGGCTGTGATTCATTTCACAGTGTGTCCTGGGTTGGTTCTCCTCGTGCCCTGTTCTTTCTTGTTCTCGTATTATTTTTCTTCTGCATACCTGGTGTCTAAGTGCCAGTTCCCAGTTTTCATTAGCGATTGCTATCCTTGGCTCCCGGGAGTGTCCAAGTTGGAGCAGACTTTAAATGAAGGCAAGGTTAGCAATGTCCACCCTATGAGGACAGAACTGGGCAAAGTTCGTTCATAGAAAGAGACAACTCTGGGAAGTCAAGTGAGGCATGGTTCCTGCCCACTGGGCCAGGTTAAAGGGGGGACGAGAACAGCCATTTTGCCCAGGAGCCGCCTTCCAGCATGGCTTCACCAACTGCTTGTAGCCCGTGCAGACAGTGGCACTGAAGAAGTCCCTAGATTGACCCACAGTAACCCCTGTGCCGGCCCATCGTTTTACCTTGACTCTGGAGTCCTTTTGCTGTGTTTTCCTCCCCAAGCATTTTATGTTGTAAGTAAAACCACCAGCTCAAGACCAGTGTCCTCAGGGTTTTGCCTGCTGACTTCTCCTGGCCACCATCTTTGGGTGACATTCAGGCTGAATGTGCTGTGGAGTCTCCTTTGAGGACTTGGCTGGCTGCGTCCTGGTCCCTGTTGTAGACATGCCCCTGCATCTGGTGCATGCTTGAAAGGGCTGTTTTCTATACTCAAGTCAGGGATTCTGCTGGCTTTGCCACAGTGGAAATCCTTTCCAAAACTGTCCCTTTAAATCGAATCCTTTTTTCACCTTCTCCTGATCATTCTTTGCTGCCATGTCTGCCTTAATAATACCTACAATTAATATTACTATGGGTGCTTTACAGTTTACAAAATACCCTTTGAATGTATTATCTCAATTTATTCACTACTAACTGTCTGAGGTGTACTTTATTTTTTTTAAACTCCAATTCTGTAGTGGCAGAGGGCCATGGAGGTTAAGTAAATTGCCCGTAGTCATAATGTAGGTGGTAGAGGCTGGAGATGGACCCACATGCTTTGGGTTCCAAATCTCGTGAACTTTCCAGTGTTCTCCCCTTCCTTTTAAAGGCCTGCATGCAAATTGGCATCTAGAACCTTCCATGATGAGTATATCATTGCCATACCTTATGTACATTCCCTTTCTATTGACTTTTGCTGTTAAAATTGGATGCACCCTCATTAACCCTGGAACCACTTTTAATCCCGAGGACTAACTATTTTTTCTCATAATACATCCATTGGTCATGGTTGGACTGAGGCTCACCTAAAAGAGAAAGGGGTAAGACTTTGTTGTTCTTGTACTTTATTAAGTGAAAGTTGTATGCTGGTGCCAGCCAGAAGCTCAAGGAGTGCTTGATTTATGGTGGTCACCTCTGTTTTTGCAAGAAAAATCAAGTTACTCATCTCACCTTGATCCTGTCCATGGCAGTGGTCCAGGTAGATGCTCAGGTTGTTGACTCAATGAGTTGTACCAAATTAACACCAATTGAACCTTTTGGTAACATGTACTTCATAGGAATGTATACAGCAAGTCTCCTAAGGAGATTTTCGGGTGGTGCTTTGAAATATACCGGGCAACACAAGCCTCAATGCCCTTGAGCAGACAACACCCCCAGTGGACAGACCAAGAAAGAGTCAGTCAGCAAATGAGAGGAAGTGCTTTCATCAAGGGAGGAAAGGGTCGAGATACATACCCCCCCAGCTGTCATGACCTGGCTGCTCATATGGAGTTTCTTTTGGGGTGACCAGCTGAGAGCTGATGAAGAGTAACTGCTATGTGACACAGTGGGAGAACCACGGGAGCTTCTCTCTCCCTGGGCCTCTTTCTCCACCCCACAGATGTTTCCGGCAGGTTTTCTCATTGTAGCACTGGCCCCTCAACTTGTATGTGTGGGATTCTTGCCCTGGTTTTGGAGTCTTCCCTTTAGAGAACATAATGTTACCTGCTTAACTACCTGGTGACCAGGCCCATCTTTCAAGGTGGGCAAGGGACTTGGTTACACCAAACCCTTATCTTGTAAGATGTTGCCTTATATTTGGGGAAGGGCCGTCATTTTACTAATTGCCCCCAAACTATCCTGTAAAGGCTGGGGCAGGGTGCTTTGCCATTTACACTTCCCTGGAGGTGAGTCCTTTCCTTTACACTGATGTGGAAGCCAATGCACGGAACAGGAGGGGCTTTGAAAACCACACTCTGAGCGTTTAATTTAGGTAACAGACCCCCCAAAGGTAGGTTTGCTCGAAGGTTTGCCTTTCCTTTCACAATTAGTGGTCCCAATAGAAGAAGCTGGAAGGGTTTCAAATGCTTCTGCTTTTGTTATTGCCAGAGGTGCTGCAGGCCTGTGTCTTGATTACAAAAGCATGTGCTGACTCCTGAAAATAAAATGTATTTCATTTATGGAAACAGGTCAGTTGGGTGCCATATGCAGAGCTTTTGCTTCCCATCTAGCAGTTTCAAAAGACATTGTACTTCACTAGGCTTTTCACAGTCAGCCAGTGTCAACTCCTGCTGTTTGCCAGGAGAATCCTCTCAAATAGCAAGCATGTATGTCTTTTGCCTGCTTTTCTTGGCAGACAATCCAGCCATCTGAACAGCTTTACCAAGAGTATTGGCATAAATATGCCCTGAAGATTTACTCTTAGCCTTATAACTATTTAAATGATTACATGTTTTACCAGTTTTAAAGAATTTAACTCAACATTTACAAGGTCAAGTTATAGGACAACTTAATGCATTTAATCAACTGTACCTACTTCATTACTTTCAAAAACCAAAACCAGAGTCACTGCCATCGAGTCCCTTCTGACTGACAGCACAGAGCAGAGTTGCCCTGTGGTTTTCTGAGGCAGTAACTCTTTGGGAGTGGAAAGCCTCCTCTTCCTCAGAGTAGCTTCAAACTGCTGACTGTGCAGTTAGAAGCCCTGTAGATAGACTCACTTTGCCTTTTCAGTATCCTTGAAAATGCAAAAAGGTAGCAAGGAGCACCATTTTGTAAATATAAATATAATGGCTAGCAGAGTTAATTAGCTACTCCCACAAGTCTAAAATCTGGAATTTCATAGAAACTCCAGACTCTAAATATAAATACTTCATTCCATCTGGACACATCAGCTTTATCAGGTCAATAAAGCCACACCCATGCACCAAATTCAGGACCTGTTTATGTATGACTTGGTGGCTAAGCATGGTATTTTTCAGTGGCTGGAAACAATTGAAGAATAATAATATTCTGTTGCACATTAAAATTATATGAAATTAAATTTTGGTTTCTATAAAATTTTATTGGAACACAGCAAGGCCCCTTTGTTTATGTGTTTTCTTTGGTGGCTTTTACACAACAACAGCAAGATTGAGCAGTTGGGAGAGAGACTTATCAGCTTGCAAAGTTAAGAGTTTATAGAAAAAAAGTTTGCTAACCTCTGGTTTACACCATTAGTCTGATGGAGTAATTTTCTGGACCCTTAGTATTCTTTCTGGAAATGTGCCCAGCTTCGTAGTGTATGGATAGCTTTCACTATCGTTAATCTCCACCTGTATCTTTCAAACCTTCTTATTCCACTCTGAGGCCACAGACTGGCTCCCTCCTTGCACTGGGGCTACAGACCCCCCCCCCACCACCACCACCCTCATACACACAAACACCTATGTGAGAAAAAGGCAGGGCTCAGCTCTCCGAGAGGCTCAGGGAGGTTATGTGGACAGTTCAGAAGCATATTTCGTTGGTCTTTAATTTGTCATCATTGTTTAGGCTCACAAGGAATGGAAGATCATTTCCTCATTTATGCCTCTATTGCCTGACTCCAGAGGGGACAACTCGCCCTTGATCGACGTGCTCCTGGAAAAAGCAAGCTCCTTGCCGGATCGATGCCTCCCACTGAACCCAGAAATGTACAAGGTGATTTTCATACATTTTCCTATACATTTATTGGGCAGGGAACCTATACTTAGAACAGTTTCAAAAAGGAGCCTGGTTCTTGGTGGGTCTGATGCATGTGGAGGAGGGCAGAATGTATAAGTATTGAGTATCAGCACAGGAAAATTTCCCTTTTCTCTGCAGCGAGCAGCCTCGCTGCCTCGGAGAGTGGGTTCCTGTCTGATGTAGAAAGGGAAGGGTTGACCCTCTTGTGCACCTCTGGAGCTCTGCCCCATTCAGCTCTCAATCCCACACTTGACTCTTCTGGGTGAGAGATTATCGGGCGTTTCTGAAGGGGATGCAGAAGTTCAGACTGATTTGTGGTGTCACAAGCATACTCGTCTGGAAGGTTAAGGGACCTGGCTTCCGTTTTCCTTTGCATTCCAGTTACACCAAGAATAAGACCAAACCCACGGAATTCGGTGGAGTCTTTGACTAAGGGTGTTTGGTGTGGCACTCCCAAAGGTAGGGAGACATGAAAGGACAAATGAGCCAAAGGAAACCAAAATTCTCTAGGCAAAATGACTATCGTTGTTTTGTGTTTCATACTGTATAAAACAAACAAATAGAGTAGTAGCCATCGGATTCTTTCTGTAAGTGACCAGAAGGCACAGCAGAAAATTTAAGTTAAATAATAGACAAGACAAGCAAATCTTCAGCTAGCCACTATCCTGTTATGGTCTAGAAGTGTGTGTTGTTTTGCGAAGTGCGCCCTCTTTGTGTGCATGGCCTAATGCCCTTTGATCTGCAATCTTCAGCTGACTCAGCATGACCAGTCAAGAGGTAGATCATGACTAATTCAGTATTAATGATGGTTACAAGAGGTGTGTAGCTAAGTTAAATTTTAAAATCTAAGTTTCCAGAAAAATGAGAGTAAGGAACACTAAAACTCTGCACCACCACTTAGCAATGATTAACCTGGCAAAAGTGAAATGCTATTAGAATCAGCATTTTCAGATCTCTGTCCCAAATCAAAGCCCGGCAACAAGTAGGGGAATGTCTACTTAATAACGAGAGAAGCTTCTGAAGTTATTAAGAGCACTGTGGCATTGTAACTTCCCCGTCTGCAGTCTTTGCACCCCAGCTGGTCTTCCCCAATGCAGAAGGTGACACGTTGTCCCTGTGCAGCTTGCTTAGAGGGGCCTCAGCTTACATAAAGCAAATGGACCAGAGTGAAGGGAGAAAGACAGTGCTATGTAGTGGGAGGCCTCAGTGCCCCACTTTAAACAATAGCACATCTGAAAGTAGATCAATACCACAGGAAAGGATTCAAGAACATAATAAACTTAGCACATGTCTATAGAACACTCCCAGTAGCAATGCAATACCTAAAGTAGAAATGTTTTGAAAATGATGATGGCAACAAATGTACGAATGTGCTGGACACAATGGATGGATGTATGGATTGTGATATGAGTAAAATGAATTTTTAAAAATGCAATATCTATTCTTTAGTGTACGCAGGACCATATGGTAAGATACAAGAGAAGACTCAATAAATTAAAAAAGAATTGAAATCAGACAAAGTAACTTCTCTGATTATAATAGAATGAAATGAGAAATAAGTAACAGGAAAAATGAGAAATTTGCAAATATTTAGAAATTAAACAATAAATTATTAAACAACCAATGGTCAAAGAAGAACTCACAGGGAAATTAGATAATACGCGGAGACTAGTAAAGTGAAAGCAAACCCAAGGGATGCAGTGAATGGAATAGTCACAGGAAAAGTTATAGCTGCAATGTTTACAAAGTAGTGCTAGTGATAAGTAAAGAAACTCAAACCAAGAACCTACCTGTGCACTTTGGGGAACTAGAAAAAAGATGAGAAAACCAAATCCAAAGGCAACCAAAGGAAGGAAATAAATACAGGTAAGAACAGAGCTAAATGAAATAGAAAATAGAAAAAACATACAATAGCACCAACAAAATTGAAAGTTCTTAGAAAAGATGAATAAAATTAACACTTGTACTTAGACTGATGAAGTAAAGACAAGACACAATTTATTAAAATCAGAACTAAAAATTGTGACATTGCTACTAATCTCACAGGGGAAAAATCATAAGAGCACGCTATTAACAATGTTTGCCAACATATTAGACCATCTTGATGAAATGGGCAAATACTTAGAAACATACCAATTACTAAACTGACTCAGGAAGAAATCGAAAATTTCAACAGACTATAACAATAAAGTGATTGAATAAGTAATAAAAAAGCCTATCAAAGAAAAGGCTTTACTGGTGAATTTTACCAAACTTTTAAAGAAAAATTAACATGAATCCTTCTCAAATGATTCCCCCAGACAGGAATCCAGCAAGGATAGAGGAATTTAGAACTCTGATATATTGCTGGTGGAACTATAACGTGCTACAGCCATTGTGGGAAAAGTTTGGCAGTTCTTCAATAAACTAAAACAAAATTACCTTATAACTTAACAATTTTAAACAAATGCTTAAACAAAAATCTGTACATGAACGGACATAGCAGTACTGTTCACTTTAGCCAAAAGGTAGAAACAGCCCATGTGTTTTTCGTAGACAGTGTTGTTATGATTGGTGGTTGAGTTGGGTTTGACTCATGGAAACAAAATGAAATGTTTCTCTGGGACATCTTTGCGACACATCTTTATGTGTTTGAATCTATTGTTGAGGCGATTGTACCAAGCCATTTCATTGAGTTTTTCCCTGAGGTTTTGCTAGCCCTGTCTTAACACACATAATATCCTTCTTTAGCAATCAGTCTTTCATGACGATTTTCCAAATTAAATGAGCCAGTCTCACCACCCTTATTTCTAAGGAACATTCTGGCTGTATTTCCTCTAAGACAAATTTACTCACTTTTTTTCCTGGCAGTATATGCCCAATAGGCTTCATTCTGATTTATCCATCCAGTGGGATACTTTTTAGAAGGAATGAAATTACTGTTGCATGCTACAAAATGGATGAATCTTGAAAACATGCTAAGAAAAAGAAGGCAGGGACAAAGGTGACATGTTGTATGGTTCCTTGTATGTGAAATTCTAGGATAGGCAATCCAGTGAAACAGAAAGCAGGGTAATCAGTGGTTGCCAGGGGGCTTAGGGAGTAGAAGCTGCGGAGTTATTTGGCATTAAAGTGGGTACTGTTTGCTTTTGAAGTGGTGAAAATGTTTTGTTTGGAGCTACATAGTGGAGAGGTTTGCACAATGTTGTGATTACACTAAATGCCTTTGAATTTTATGTTTTAAGTGGTTAAGGGGATGAATTTTATGTCGTGTGTAATGTACCACAGAAAGCAAAATGAATGAGAACAATCACGTAGCAGGTTACTTTGGGGGCAACCTGTTAATGGGTGCATGGGAATTGTGGGAGCTCACTATATTTTTGTAACTTCCTGTGAAAATATATTTCAATACAAAGTTGAGGAAGAGTAGTCCTGGTCACCTGCCCTCTTGTGTGAGAGAGTAAGAGGAGTGGAGTGTCTCAGAGCCCACTGAGCTATGCGGCAGCTACCTGGAGCTACTGCTGCCTCGGTCACAACTGGGCTGTCCTCTGAAGTCTTGTTTTTGTATTTTTCCAAAATCAGAGTAAGCCCAGTGATTGTGCACACTGTAGCTATTGGCCATGGGTTCACGGTCTTAGCCGTCACTCTTCTCCACAGCTCCTCAATGGAGAACTGAAGCAGTTGTACACTGCCATCACGCGAGCCCGGGTCAACCTCTGGATCTTTGATGAAAACCGAGAGAAGCGGACTCCTGCTTTCAAATATTTCATCAAAAGAGATTTTGTCCAAGTTGTGAAGACAGATGGAAATAAAGGTAATTGGTCATTAAAGTTGTCTCACTGTTGACATGGAAGCATGCTTTTCTCCACGTTCTTTGCCTCCTCGGTAGTCCTCTGAGAAATGAGAGCTCTTCATCTACCAAAGTGTAGGTTGTCTTTTCACCTTTTAAATAAAGTCCTTAATTGTAATATTTCATTTCATGAGGCCTTATGTCTTAGTTATCTAGTGCTACTATAATAGACATAACAAGTAGCTGGCATTTGTTTCATCACTGCTTAGCAGGCTTTTCGTCAGATTCAGCGCTCTGATCCTCAGGGGAAGTCTTTCTCAGTTGGCTCTGGTGGGAGTCCTTGTCTCTTCAGCTTCTGCTTCCTGGATCCTTTAGACCTCCATGTATCTTGGCATTTATTTTAATCTCATCTCTCTTCTGTTCACTTGTTCAATCTCTTTCATAATTTCAAAAGATTAAGTTAGCAGGGTTCCAATCTGATTATCTTTCCTGGTAGCCCAAATTTTTTAAATTCGGATGGGTTCAGGGTTAGCTTCTATCTATGGCTATGGGTGAACAGAGAAGAACCCATTTGAAGCCTTGGTTTGAGAGTTTAGCTAGTGAGAGATAACAGGTTATCTGCATCTATCTGGTTCTTGAGTTTTATAAAT